ATGAGGGAGACGCGGTCCCATCCTTGGAATCCTTGTTCTTCTTAGAAGACTTATTTGGATCTTTCCCACGCGAGAGCTGGATGGCATTAGCACGATTAGAACTAGTAGAGAACAAAGCAACAGTGACATACAACTCTCTGACTGAAGCGCTTCATCTTGTCGGACAACAGCGTGTCGTGTGGAGGGGCGGTTTAAGACGCCCGCTGCTCAACTGTATGAGGCAGTGGGGCACCGGGGCAACGACGTCAGGGGCAAAGGGACGTCGAGGGTGTGATAACAGCTGCGCAAGCAACAATATCGATGATTTGAGGCGTCGTAGCGATGAGCGATGTCGATAATCGTTGTTAGGGGTCGATTTCAAGGTAAGAGGAGAGGTGCCAGCCGGGCGAGAGCGTTGTGGTGCTGTCGAGAGCCGCGAGAGCGAGAGCTTCTAAGCTGATGAGGCTGGGGCAGCGGATGTAAAAAGACTACTCGGGAAGCGAAAAGCGACGATTGATCCCATGCAGGAGAATAACGATGAAGCACTGAACCAGCCAGAGCTGAAGATCTTTGGTAGGTAGGTGTTGGGCGACAGTGCGTCGAGATGAGGTGCAATCAAGTGCGGTGCTGTGCAGTGCGTGTGCTGGGCGCTGGCACTGACTGAGGCGCTGGCTGGTACTTGCGCAGGAGGGTGGGAAACTGGAACGGGGGCTCGGCCGGGATGGTCTCTGCTGATGCTTCCTGGTGCTGCTGCTGTCTAGTCTTAGGGAGGAGAAAACGTAGTAAGATCAAAGGTCGAGAGGAGCAAGGTAGAACTGGAAGTGGAACGAAGAAGAAGAAATGTCAAGGACGCGGCGTGGTCGAGATGCTCACGGCGGCTTCAGACTCGAGCCTCGTTGTCGTCGATGAGGAAATCGGAAACTTTGTCGTAGGTAGCGGACGGGACGTGATTATCGTTGGGCGCCGGCGAAGAGAAGGTATTGTGCTTTGCGGGGGGGTGGAAGCTCCAGTTAGAGGGAACGCGCTTCGATTATTGGAGAGGGATGTCAGGTTCGGGTCATGGTGTTCGAGTATATCACCAGCTGTTAGTGACAGTGTGCAGATGCTGTGGTATTGCTAACAGATCCCCTAGGCATGCACTGGTGAGCTCAATTGGATTGACCCTGGTTGGGATGGCTAGGAACGGGCGGTGAAACCACTAAAGGCGCTGCAGAGGCACATTAGGGGGATGTGCCCCTCCTGAATGGACCCCGATGCTTGGTAGGAGCTGGTAAATAGGGAGAGTCTTGGATTAATGCTCGCTATAATTTTAAAGTACATGGGCTTTAATGCGTTTGGTATTGGCTATCTTTTAGCTATCATTTGTATCACTTGATGTTGTTTATAGTTAGTTCTACCTAAGTTCAATTGAAAGGACATCAAATACCGATCTGCCAAGAAGTGGGCGTCAAGGGAGTCAGTTGGAGTGCCACTAGGTGTGAGTTGAACCAGTCACGCGGCCGAAATTACAGGCAGGCTGTGTAAGAGGCCGGGCATTTAAGATGGGAATGTTCAGCCGCAGATAAACAGAATCTCAAAAGTCCGTTTTAGAAGAAATGATATCAGACGAAGGTTAGCATGTGCTTTGGACTCGAGCATATCAGTGATACTCTATTTCTAGTGATTGACTGATTGTAAGCTTATTAGTTGTCCTGTTAGGCATGCAGGTGCAGATTCTGGTGAGAGAAGGATACAGCTTAGAACATTCCATAGCTAGGATGGGAATTCCAAAGTGTGTTTCCAGATCATATCAGCTTTGAGCTAAGCAGATGCTTCAACCTTGAGTCTTTTCTCGTCTCGTTGTTTCTCTTCGTGAAACCAATACCCTCTCAAACCCAGTATTCGTTGGAGTTTGATAAGCCAGGTCGTAAGCACAGACCAGAAACAGCCACAGAAGTTTATCGAAATCGCACTGTCCTCTACCAGTGTTTCCAGGTCGAAAAGACAGTGCGTGAAGTTACCTCCCCAGCCACGGCGAAATCAACGTCAAGGGCACCTGGTGAGAATCACGTCAAGTCATCATCATCGCGTATCCAATGCAACAGCGGCATCGACTCTTCCCCTCCGTTAATTTGGGCAGCATTAGCACAGAGTCCGACTCATGAGCGAGTTCCAATTGGTCACTATTCTTGGGTCTGTTGTGTCACCGTCTGCCTCCTATAAACGTTAGCTCCGGTGTGGATCTAAAGCTTGTCAGTGTTGTTTTTTCAACGTAGAGTTTACAGGGCGACGACAACAGAACTTACGGAGTACATGAGGATACAAACGATATTCCTTTTATCAGAAATCGGGCCTTTTCTTTTGATGTTGCGACTACAATAACAGTCGGCAAGCGAAAATGGAGATTTCCTCTGATGAAAACGGCTATGAAAGCCTGGATGATACTCAACTAGAGAATGATAATGGTGGAAGAGCCAATGATTCGGTTCATCCAGATTCAGCGCCCAGATATACAGTCCCTTCTCGCGCCATTGGTGCTGTTGAGATTCCTGCTGTGGTTGAAAACATCGACCGTACTGTCAAGGCATTCGGCCGAGTGCCAAATCTCCAACATGTGAGAACTCATAGCAGTTCAACCATCTACTTCCGCTAATAGGAATTTAGGTCATGGATGCAGGGAGAAACTCGATTCCCCTCTATTTGACACCAGAGATACCGTTCTGCAAGCCTATAATGTCACATAATGCCCGCAGTCATAATGTCGTGCTGAAACTCACAGTTCCAAAACGAACGGGGCGTAAACGCAAGCGTGGTACTAATGGACCATGGGAAGGAGATGTTGAAATCAATGACGCTGAAGATCAACCACAAGAAAACAACAGAGTCTCTTCTTATGCGAGATTAGACGACCCCAAAGTATTGCGTCGAACAATGGCAGACAATGTCGACAATTATCAGGTCGAAGCAGTTGGTGTAATCAGGAACACACATCGATTTCGTGGACTTGCAGATTTTTACTGGGATATGTCCAAATCATCATTTGCGCAACAATACATGGACAAAGTGCTCCCTGGGGATGGTATGTTTTGTAGCCCAAAATCCATATAGGATACTAACAGCTTGCAGTCGACAAGATAAAGGAGTTCAAGTTCCAGCCTGGAACTGACAAAGGACCAAATATCGATATTCTTCCACCGCCAATGTTTACGCACATGAGCCTCCCTTTCAACTACCAATACTCGCAGAACCCTTACGTACGTGCCACTGAAGATGGCGGAACTGTCAACACTACAGCTGTGAAACAAGTCGGCTACTTCATTGGCGCAGAAGATCCTGCACCAGCTGGACCTCAACTTGAACCCGATATGACCGATCCCAGAATGGTGGAAATTATGGCTGAACTCGAAGCGGCCTTCGATGAGCGACCAGTGTGGACACGACGGTCTCTACTCAATCACCTTGGAGGCAAGCTCAAGAACTGGAACGAACTCAAAAAGTATCTCAACTACGCAGCTTATCAGTTCAAGGGAGGGCCATGGAGAGATGGTGTGGTTCCTTATGGTATCGATCCACGAACAGATCCCAAGTATCGAACCTACCAAACTCTCATGTTTAAGCTTCCTAAGCAGAAGCGTGCCCAACGCGGTCAAACGTGGAAATCGCTACGCAAGGTCCAGATGGGCCCGTTGAAAGAATTTCTAGAGGAGCTCTCGGAAAGCCACGTTTTTGACGGCGACACCTTTCACACTGACGGTAAAGTGTGGCAAGTATGCGATATTACCGACCCACTGCTCAAAGATCTTCTTGAGAATGCTGCTATCCGTCCTGAATGGGACCCAAGCAGCGGATGGTATCACGGAGGCCTGTGGGCAAAGGTCAAAGCCATCATGAAGACAAAACTGGTTGCCATTCAATTCGATCGACACCTTACGCGAGAAGATTTCGCGATGACGCTACAAGCAGGAGACGAAACTCCCATGCGATCCAATCAAGCAACATTCCATCTCCCTCTGCCTAATCTACGTCTCACAGACGAGGAGCTTACGCAACTTCGTGGGCGACAGCCAACAAAGAAGAACAAGCATAAAGGCTACAGCGTGCGTGTTAGAGACCCCAACGCAGGACCGAAGCGTGCACCAGCTGAGGAAACCCGCGCAGCTGAGCGGGGAGAAGAAGAGGCTAGGATATTGGAAGAGATGGGATCCGGGAATGAGGATTCGGATGATGATGATTCAGGGGATGATGAGGATGGCGACATCACAGCTGTACGGGACGAGGATATAGACAGAGAGATGATGTATGGATGAGGGGCCATACGAGAACCAGATCACAGTACCAAGAAGCAGAGCACACTGCAGTATGCAGTTAACTGTAAGGAAGCAGAGGGGAAACGCAGTCATCAAACAATTCCCTGCCGCGACTGTGCATTGGGCACGTTTCCAAACCTTCATTACAGTTTGTTGCTCGAGCTCTCGCATTGTGCCCCTATGGTACCGTTCCCAATATATTGTCTTTTGCCCTGCTCCCCTGGGCAAATGTTGCCAGTAAACTCCATGCTCCATGTTTGAGCTGTGCTTGGCTTTCAAACTCTTTGCGAGAAAACGATGTGAAATCTAACCTTTTGTTGGTAGATTTCGACTGTCCTATTATAGAAGTAGAGCCGGTTATCAAAACCATGCTCAAAGTGAAGTAAATTGCCAGCAATCAGCATGCTTCAATAGCCATTCTTTGCCATTTTACGCTGAAGTTACTATGCCTGCCGTGGCGTGTCGTTGGTTTGATCCGTTCTTATTTATCTCAACCCCCTATTGTCCCCTCACAGCTCTTTGCAAGCACTTTGACGTTCTTATTCCGCACGTTTGCAGCGCTTCGCAGTGACAGTGAGTCACAGTGCTCTAATTCACCTGTTGCCTGCGTTTTCATCTGCATATAAATTTCGATCTCACCCTCCTTCCTGCATCTCTCCGTTTCCACATCTGCATCCATTCGCATCAACACAGACCAACACCAATCTTTTCCATCATCTCCTCACCAAACAGAAGATGACAACCGTCAAACACAAATCCAATGGCGCGTCAGCCGTCGTGGTCTCCGAATATAAAACGGGGTCTGGCACCCTCTCCAGCAACAGCTTCTGGTGTGAGCCGTGCAAGAGAATCTTCAGAACCTGGCAGCAGCTTCACGACCACAAGGAAAAGATGAGCGCTCAAGGCAAGCCTAAGCATATCCACTGCCAGTTCTGCAGTCTTGACTTTCACACCGAAGCCGCCAAAATCACCCACATCCAGCAGGTTAGTTTCATCGCTTCTCTTCTCCTGTATTGCCCTGCTAACTCCTCTACAGGATCACCCCCAGGAACAAAACCTCTATTGCACAGGATGTGGAAAGGGCCCCTTCGTTCGAGTCGGTGGACTCGTAACTCACGTCGAGAAAGAGTGTCTCATCCTCAGTACCAAGACTATTGAGGCCATGCGTGAGGAGAAGATGGGATTTTCCCAGGCCCTCACTGCTCTGACCCAAGAGCCTCTCAAGAACAACTACGGAAAGTACATGCCCGAGAATGCGGACAAGGGTCTTCCTGATGCTACCTGGGAGTCAACCGGAAGCATTCCTGCTCCCTTTACTATTGAGCAGAGTCAGTTCCCCAGCCTTGGCGAATCTAGTTCTACCGCGCTCCAGCCCGTCAAGGAGAAGAAAGAGAACAGCTGGAACCAGGGTAAAAATCTGTTCCCGGATGCTCCTGCAGCTCAGCGCCCTACTCAAGAGCAGCTCAAGCAAGTCACTGCTCCCAGCGCCAGAACTGCTTATGAGCTCATGAGCGAGTTCGACCCCAAACATCCCAACTTCAACGTGGGACGGTTTTACTCCGAGTACACCCAAAAGTTCAACTGTCGCTTGGGGAGATGCGGCAAAGCCTTCAAGACAGCGAAGGGACTCATCGCCCACCTCACCTCTGAGGCTCACTCTACGAGCAAGTACCGCTGCCCCTACTGTCTCAACACGTTTGGATCACTTGCTTCGATCACCCAGCATGTTGAGTCCAACAGCAGCAAGTGCCACATCCGAGAGTCGGAGCAGTTCAATGCCTACATGGACCAGCTTCTCGCCAGCTTGGTTGATGTCAAGGAGAGACACCCAGATGGTACCGTTCGCTATGAGACGTCAAAGACTTTTGGCAAAGGTCCTAGCCCTGGCTCAGACCTCGTTCAGCAGAAGGAAAACCCCAAGGTCAACGGAGGAGACCCCTACGCGGGAAAGAAGATTCATTGGTAGAGTTGCGGAATGATTGATGCGGAGAATGAATTTGAGATTGGCAAGTTTGAGATGTGAGCTTGAGAGGCTACTGAGCAATGTACCTGAGCTTAGATAGTAGCTGAATGATTGACGATGCCCAGGTATTCATTCATTACCGTGAAATCTTGAACACTTCGTTCACTGTAAAATTATGTAGCATTGCATTGATTCAACTTACAGCAGCCGTAGCGGATGCACGTTGGGTTTACGCGTTCAAGGGGCGGAGTTGTAAATTTAGAACCGGAGCGGAGCTAAATGTGGAACCCATTGGCCCCTGATGACCTAAGCTTCACTCTAATCCAATACAGTACAGTGAGAGTAGTAGACAACACTCCCGTAATTAATTTCAGGATATTTCACAGTTCAACTTTGCTTTCATCATCTAATAATTTTGTGTATTTTGCGTCAAAAGACACGTGCGATATTGAGCGTTTGCAGCATAGTCTGTCGCTGTCTTCTCCTCTGGCCTTTCCCCGGATTCCGCTATCGAATAACGGCTTCTTCAAGATCGACTAAACGATACCCCTGTGTTCGCTACACTGGAACAACGCTATGACGAGAGAATTCCAATAGAGATCCGAATATTCGTTGCACGAGCGCTCAGCGAGAGAGTATTTGGACTGGCCTCGAGGTTACAGAGACAAGATATAAGCGGGCGCAATGGCGACAGCTCGGAGATGGGCGCGCAAGGTCGAGCGTTGCTGTTGTACTTTTGCGACGTACTTTCCACTGGCTTTCGTTTACGGTCTAACATCATGGGCGGTTTGGGTGGTTGTGTGTATTGGTAATGCCAGCAGGAAAAGCAGTTGGATAGGTAAGTCTGGACTGCATTGATGCTGCTGTTTCCATCTAACAGCTTTACAGGCACCGGTTCTTCGGTAATAGGCGTTGTACTTTACATCATGCTCAACTGGTGCTACACTACCGCTGTCTTTACACCTCCCGGCTCGACGACGAACGATATGGGTTATGGACTCCTTCCGACGCAAAATACGCCGCAGGGCACTTCCTTTACCGTCAAGAGTAACGGCGAGTTTCGGTTCTGCAAGAAGTGTCAGGCTCGCAAGCCTGATCGGGCGCACCACTGCTCGACATGTCGACGATGTGTTCTAAAGATGGATCACCACTGCCCTTGGTTAGCAACATGTATCGGCCTACGCAACCACAAGGCATTCCTCCTGTTCCTCATTTATACGACTGTGTTCTGCTTCTGGTCATTCGCGGTCAGCGGATCGTGGGTTTGGTACGAGGCGCTGGATGATCAGGAATACATCGATACTTTCCTGCCCGTCAACTTTATCATGTTGAGCGTCATCAGTGGAATTATTGGTCTCGTTGTGGGTGCTTTTACAGGATGGCATATTCATCTGGCTCGTTGTGGACAAACTACGATCGAGTGTCTCGAAAAGACACGATACCTGTCGCCCTTGCGCAAAACCTATAACTCTGCTCACAACCCCGCCAACAACGTACCGGAAGCTGCTCGCCATTTCGTCGACTTTCACACAAATGCACTGCCTGGTATCACTCGACCTGAAGAGGGCGAGGAGCGACGGTCGTACCCACCTGATGGTTCTCACCCTGTTCAGCTTTCATACGCTCAGCGAGAACGAGAACAACGACAACGGCGATATGAGGAGTATCTCGACGAACAGGACTCTGAGAAGCTCCCCAATGTCTTTGATCTTGGCTGGAAACGCAACTTGTTACATCTGTTTGGACCTACACCTGCGCTTTGGTTCTTCCCTGTGTCCAACACAACAGGAGATGGCTGGACATGGGAGGCTAGCAGCAAATGGCTTGAGGCGCGGGACCGACTTAAGGCTGAGCGAGAACAACAACGGGCTCGCGAGGTTAACGCCGGTTGGGGATCCGCAGATGATATTCCTGATGTCCCCGAACGACCTACTGGTGCAGGACGGCATTTCACCCCAGGACCAAAGCTCGCAGGACCTAAGACGATGAGTAAGGCTGATCGAGTTCTGGGCCGCGATCCTAACCTATACGCCGACGCAACACAAAACGTACCCATGAGTCGTCTCAGCCCTCGAGGTCGAACAGTGGACGACGAGCTTGCAGACTTGGACAGTGATAATGACGATGGCTTCATCGACACGAATAACCCAGAGCCAGAAAATGGCAAGCTGAGTCCAAGCTTCACATCAGAAGCTCAACGTCGTGACGACGCTGAGGCTCGCGCTCTTGAAGTCGTTACTAACGGTAACTGGGGCCGCGGCGGAGCGAGCGGCATGCTTCGAAAGGGAAGCTCACAGAGCAGCCCCCTTAGCAGAACACCCAGCAACATCAGCCGTTCAGGGACACCAAAGTTCCAAGACGAGGGTGTGGATTAGACATTTGGAGAGTTGTGTTTTCGAAAGCAAATGAAATGAATGAGGTTCCTCGACGTTTAACGTTTCTTGTCACGAGATGAGGAGTTTTGTGTTCTATTCTTTTATTTCCGTGTTCGATCATCAATTATTATCATTCTCGTACAGAGTACTTTTTATCCAATACGTTTTTGGCGGAGTTTTAGTCAACGGTGTATGATCTGATATCCAATATTATTTTGACTTCTACCCTTTGCTCTGGATCCACGGGTGTATATCTACTATAGATCTGCTCTTTTGCCAAGCGTGACTCGTGTGATTAGTCTAAAACTGCCGAGTTGAGATCGTCCACGTTTGTGAGATCTACAACACCAACACCCCTTGATCATCGCCATGTCACTTTAGGGAAGAAATGGGTTACACCGCCAATCTCACTCCCTACGACAGTGATATCGCCTGTCAACCGAGAACTTTGGCGTGTTTCAGAACGCTGGATTGACGCCGTCATGCCCTGGGTTCTCGGCATGTGCCCGCAGGAGTATCCCAGGCCAGCTCGCAGCAGGGAACTTGGCGTCATTTGGCCAAGTGAGGCTATCCACATAAGGTATTTCCTTCGCTTGACTGACAACTGCGTCACCTAGGCACTTTTCTGCATCTAATCTCGGCAGAAGCGTTTCGATCTCGACGTAGTATTCGTCAACGCCTAGACTTGTCCTGTAATCTTTCGATCCAAAGTCAGACAGCACGCCGAGGCGTATGAGACGGGACAAGGGGTCTATTCGCTCCGCTATGCCTGGTGACGTATGTACGGCGATGGCAATCCAGACTTGATGTGACGCAGCTTCAGAATAGCCGCTTTTGACGAGATGGGCCTTTGCGCAGTCGGCAGAGCAGATCTCAAAGCGTTGCTCCCCATTGTAGAGATGGCTTGCTCCAATATCATGATGGATGGCTGCTACAAAGAGAAGTGGACTCTGATCTTCAGATTTGAAGGGAGAGTCTTCTTTCTCGGCGATATACCGAGCTAGAAGATAGACCCGAAGAGAATGATTCAAGATAGGGATAGGCAAAGCATCCCTGGCGAGTTCAAGAGCTGACAGACAAGTGTCAGTCTGAGGTATCTTTTCCAGTACAAGGGGGTTTATGTCGCTCATCATGACTCTCAGACGATATTCATAAAGGAACGTTACAAATGCTACGCTTTGAGATGAAGCTAACATCCCAAGTATCTTCTTGTCCATGTCCAAGCGGGGTTGACGTGAACGCTTACAAAGCTTGCAATGTCGAGCTGAAATGACATCTTGAACTCCACTATCCAACCCCCCTCCCTCTTCCAGAAACTCAGAATAGCCTCATTCTCATTCCATACGACATGCTCTTCTCAACGGGCGCACACCCCCCCAGCGACGATCTTGCAAGATCAGCATTGGAGAGGGGGGACCCTGCGGGGAAGACGCGACGAATATGGAACAAGCGCCTTTTAGTGAGAACCGTAAAATAAGAACGAGGCGGTCTCGTCGCTGGGATTAGAAGGTTGAACTTGTGGAGATTAGTTTATAGCTATTCTGTTAAGGAACAGGGGTAACAATACGAGAATACGAGTCACAGGCTTCATCAGAGATGCATGTGTTTATAAAATAGTTCATTTCTCATTATTCCCTCTTCGCCCTTGAGTCAAGGCCAAGACCTCTTCTACAAAGGGGTGAAGGGATCACTATGGCCTATCCCCATATTGAGGGGGTGGCCCAGTAGCTTGTTTGTTTTGTTTGTTGTAGCGTGAGCCACCGGTATGTGTATATCATGGTTTCCCTATGTCGATCCATTGTCCCATCTCAGAGGCCTCAAAAAGTGAGGGATATCTCCATCTTCTCCACCAGCCATTCCATCCTCCCTTATGCCCGGTCAATAACCTTCTTCCTATCATCTCGTCTTCCGTGCCAGGTGACATTGATGACATCAGATTGTAGCAGAATCAACAAGAGAGTCAAGAGATGAGAGAGAGATATTGTGGGCCAAGTAAAGTGAGAGTGCTTTCAGCAGAAAAGAGATATTTCCCAAGTGTTTGGCTCCCCTGCCTTGTGCCGATCTATAATACGTGAATTCCGGTATTCCCCAGTGCAATGCAAGTTTCCCTGACGCTCCCAAATCACGGCCAAGCGTGGTGTATGCAGACTCCTTTTTCATTCCCGTCCCAATCCTTTGATCCATCGAGGCAGCTTCAATGCCTCGATAATAAAAATAATATAAACATAGAATCCCAATAATGACCAACACCGTCCACGCTAAAGGGGGTATTTGTCCATCTTTAACTGTTTTTTTCATGCGCCGTATTTTTAAGGAAATCGTCGTGTACCAGAGGGTACTGTTAAAAGGGTTATTCAAACGCTTCAACCCTGCCTTGGATAAATGAAAAGAAGAAAAAATAAAGAAACAAAGTAAACAGTAATGGCGCAGGCTCCATCCATCAAGTCACAGATCCCTTCTGTCCCATCGCGTGTCGCGCCAGGATCCTCCTGGGATCATGGAATAAAGATGTGTGACTAACATCGTGGGATGGCTTCGGATATCCTTTGCCCAAGATCCTTGTCGATATCAGACTTAAGCAGCGTCCAGATCCAGCTTCGTCAGGCTCAGTATCGATCGATCGAGAAGTGAATGGTAAAAAAGAATTATATCCAAGAAGGTTGAAAAAAGTGTTCGTACAGATGAGATAGATGTGACTCAGTTGGTAATCAATAGCTGTCAAAGCTCGTCTTCTCGGAGCTAGACTTTTCAATAGTACTTTTAGGGCTGGTGTTGATCCGGCTGAAGACCTTGCCACCGAGACGGTTGAGCTTGTTTCCGTCTTGGGTGCGGCGAGGAGCATCGATCAACATCTTCTGGACCGAGTCGACCTTAATCTTGCAGAAGAGCTTAGAGAAAAGGTACTGGTCACCAGCGTGGTTGAGGAGAGGCAGGGTGCGGTAGCCCTGTTTGAGGTTGGTGAGTTTGGCGGTGTAAGTAGCGACGGCAGGGCGCTCGTTGTAGCTCTCGCCATCGTTGGAGAGCTTGACCGACCAGCGAACAAAGATCAGGTCAGGGTGCTTGGTGGTAACCTTGAACTTGAACTGCTTGTCGAACATGGGGTTGAAGCCGTTCTCGCGGATCACCTCCGTCTGGACTTTGAGGGGCGAGTCGTGTTCCATGACCAAGTTAGAATCAGCCTCCTTCTTGTCGCGCTTGTCGTTGGCGTGGAAGATCTCGATCTCCACGTAGGGGTCCATAGACTTATTGGCGGGGAGGTTGGCAGGTCGCATAAGCTGTTGGGCAGAGATGACATCAATGCTGAATGAGACAACACTGCGCTCCTTCTTGCCCTCGGCAATGTCAGAGTTGTAGGGGAGAACTTGAATGTCTCGGAGCTCAGCGGGCTTCAAGACGTAGCCAGAAGCATCCTTGCCATCGAACATGGCACGGTTGAGCTGCATTCCGAGGTCGAATGTCTGCCAGTTGAGAGCGGCCATCTGGACACCGCGTCGCCAGTAGATAAGGGGGTCGAAGTTGTTAGACGTGATGCGGGTTCGGTCGGGGTAGACGCGCATCATGTAACGCATGTTGTGGATATCAAGTGCCATCTTCTGGTCTTTAGCACGGGAGTGCTTAGCAAAGCTAGACTCCATGAAGGAGAAGATGTGGTTGTACTGCTTCGCGTCCACTGTGTCAAAGCCAGAGAACTTTACACCAGCGCAGTAGACACCCAGTTCACCAAGGACCTTGACAGTCTTGTTGGGGGCCTTCTTGGCTGGCTGCTCACCGGCGCTCTCGTTGTCGCTGGTGCTGCTGCTCATCATGTCCTGAACACGCCCCTCGGTGATAGTGTTGACACGGGTCTTGCTGACCAATCTTCGTGAGGAGTGGCTGGGTGTCAGCATAGGGCTCTGGGGAAGGGACTGAGATGGCATCAAAGGGGTGCCATCAGGAGCCGAAGGTCGCATCATGGGCGAGTTGAGGCTGTTACCCCTTCGTCGACCACGGAAGTCATTACCCACGGAAACAGGCTCTTCCTTGATCTGAGGCTTCTTGACCTTGATGAGGACACGTTCCATAAGCTCAGAGGGGGTGGGAAGCTTATCGGGGAACGCCTCCAAAGTCTCGGTGACCAATCGTGCACCGAAGCATTCCTTGATGATCTCCGTCATTGTCGCCTGTTGAGCCGGGCTGCAGTGGACCTCAAGTGAAATCCAAAGAGGGTACTTGGACTTGACGAAAGCGTATTTGTTAATGGTGGTCATGACCTCCTTGAAGCTGATTGAAGTTGTCATGGTGCGGCCATGATTAACTTCGGGCTGGCCGTTGTAGCCGTCCCAACAGTCGACCTCAACACATCGGCATCCCCGGACAAGAGCTGAGATGTAGCCCTCGACGCTGGACTGACCAGCAACCTGACGACCGAGGAGGTAGGTGTTGTGGGAGCTTGAAATGAAATACTCGTTCATCGGGCGGTCCAGGACAATGTTTTGAGGCTCGGGTTGAATCACATCGTTATGCTCTGACGTCAAGAAACCAACAAAGGCGGCTTCGGACATAATCTCGGCGTTTTCTTGGAGATCGGCCTCATCATTGCGGTACTGACGGCAAAACCGAGAGAACAGCTTCTCCCAGGCAACGCGGTTAGAATCAACATCCTCGCCCTGGACGTCGCGGAGAAAGGTAAGAAACTCTGTCGAGGTAAGACCGAACTCGGGGTTGGCGGCAAAGCCACGGATAATTCGTTGAACATCGGTCCTTTGCTTCATGCGTCGAACAAAGTCCTTGAACTCCCTAAAGTTTAGTTTTTGTCGTCGTCGCGAATCAGACAAGTGAAAGTTGACTTCCAGGGTCGCTTGTGAACTGTAAATGTGAAGGTTCTGGCACACACGCTTCACTCCGGCAATATTCATCTCCTCTTGCTCGAGGCAGCGGACCTGGTCACCAAACTCCTTGGCCATCTCTGTTTGCCAATACTGGGCAACAGCGCGGTCGTTGAATGCCATCAACGATGTCAT